ATATACTCACACACACATATACACACACTCACATATACTCACACACACATACTCACACACACACACTCACACACACATATACTCACACTCACATATACTCACACTCACACATACTCACACCCACACACTCACGCACGCATATACTCACTCACTCGCGGGCACCAAGAGGGTATGAGAAGGTTTACTGCTCATAACGGGGCTTTCTGGAGAGCGCAGGGCAGGCGCCCAAGCCCGTCTGAAAACGTCCTGCGTTTTCTTGTGGTTAGGAGGCGAAACCAGGGTGAGGGGCCCCACCCATAGGCCTGGGTTGGCCTGATCTGAACCTCCCCCTGGAGCCAAGGGAAGGAATGTTCCAGCTTCCCTGGGGCTTGTCCAGATGTGGGGCAAACGGGCAGTGGGGAGAAGAGAGTCTGGCAAGCGGTCAGCGGTCAGCCATCTGGAATGGAGTCGGACTCCTCATGACAGCCCACCACACACAAGACACCCCCACAACAAGGACTTTTCCAGGGCCTGGGTTCAGTCATGCCAAGGCTGAGGGCCCCTGGGGTTCAGCCAGCCTGACTCAGGCCATGTGGGCGCGGTGGGTGCGTCCCTGAGCTCCAGGCACCCCGTCCTCCAGCTGCGCAGGCTGCTGAGTGCTCACGGCACAGTCCCCCGGCGGAACTGCCCTTGGCCAGCAAAAGAGCCACCTCACTGAGGTCACACCCCTCCCCTGGGAGCAGCCCACAAGCAAAACCTGGCTGTCGGGGTCCAAAGCCCCCCCTCTCCCCTGAGCACCATGCTGCGGGGCCACCCACAGGGACCGGCTGAGACCAGTGCTGAGTCCCACAGCTGCCCACTCTGTCCTTGTCAAACGCTGCCCTCGCCTCTGCACAGGTGCTGTTCCCACACCGCGCTTCCCCGGAAACCCAGGGCACACACGTCTCCACCGCAGATCCAGTCCCCTGGGAGCCAGCCTTCTCTTAACCAGACTTAGAGTGAGAAGGAAAGCTTGCATTGTGTCCTGAACATACGTGCACGTACATATGTG